ATCCAAAACAAGGACTGGTGGGAGGTTGTCCTGCTGCACTTCACATTTGCCGAGTGAAAGGATAGTTTTATAATGACAGGATACGCATTTATACAACACTTTATTCAAAAGAAAGAGCCTTTCTTTCCACGCGTCATTATGCTATTTCTGTGTCATTGCACATGCGCAGTGCTTTCAGTTTCGGGGTTCAATCCGATCGGGTGTTTACATGCACTCTCAGTCGTATTAGAGAAGGAATAAACCCCCCCCTTCAATCCGATCGAAATTTCATTCCGATCGAGCTCAATCGGATCGATTAAGGTGAAGGCTTGAAGGTTTTTCAGTCCGATTTAGCCGTCAATCCGATTAAAAATTGATTATTTGGTTGCATGTAAACGTAGCCAGTGAGTATAAGAAAAGATTAATTAAACATCATTAAAAACAAAAAGCTGAGAATGTTAAATTAGAGGCAGTCAATTTGAAAGTTAATTATATAAACTCACACACACTAGTGGTGAAATGAAAGGTTTGGAATAATTAAGATTTTTAAAAATGTTTTTGAAAGACGTCTTGTGCTCACCAAGGCTGCAATTATTTGATCATAAATACAGTAAAAATAGAAATATTGTGAAATATTATTACAATTTAAAATGCCTGTTTTTTTTATTTAAATATATTTTAAAATGTAATTTATTCCTGTGATGCAAAGCTGAATTTTCAGCATCCTTACTCCAGTCTTCAGTGTCACATGATCCATCAGAAGTCATTTTTATAATATAGTAATATATAGTAATATATATATATATATATATATATATATATATATATATTGTAATACATTCATATAGTATTAATATTAAAGACTTTTTTCCCCCTTTTTTGGAAACCTTTTTAATTGAACCAAAGTAAGTTTTTGGCCAAGACATTTTTTGGCCTTTAATGGAATATTTTGGCATAGTACTTATACTTAAGTCTAATGTCTCTGTACTTTTACACCCCTGCCAGTGACTGAACTATTACTAATATTCCATCAAAACATACTATGTAGGTGCATCTCAATAAACTAGAATGTCGTTGAAAAGTTCATTTCAGTAATTCAACTCAAATTGTGAAACTCGTGTATTAAATAAATTCAATGCACACAGACTGAAGTAGTTTAAGTCTTTGGTTCTTTTAATTGTGATGATTTTGGCTCACATTTCACAAAAACCCACCAATTCACTATCTCAACAAATTAGAATACTTCATAAGACCAAAAAAAAAAAATTGTAGTGAATTGTTGGCCTTCTGGAAGTATGTTAATTTACTGTACATATACTCAATACTTGGTTGGGCCTCCTTTTGCATGAATTACTGCATCAGTGCGGCGTGGCATGGAGACAATCAGCCTGTGGCACTGCTCAGGTGTAATGGAAGCCCAGGTTGCTTTGATAGCGGCCTTCAGGTCATCTGCATTGTTGGGTCTGGTGTCTCTCATCTTCCTCTTGACAATATCAGGTCAGGCGAGTTTGCAGACCAATCAAGCACACCAACACCATGGTTCTTGAACCAGCTTTTGGTGCTTTTGGCAGTGTAGGCAGGTGCCAAGTTTATTGAGATGCACCTGTATATATATATATATAATGCCGTACCTCTCCTACAGACACCGAAAGGGCGTGGACGATTTTCTCATGCGCCATAGCGACCACACTCTGTCCATTTATCTCAATTATTCTGTGGCCGACTCGCACACCGCCCCTCTCCGCAATACCTCCACGCATCAGACTACAGATCTGCAATTCAGCACCAGGACGACAGCATAAGACTGAAATAAGTAATGATACAATCAAAAAATTCCCTAACACATCAGCTGATCAGATGTGCAGAGTTATTGTAATGATTTTAGATGTTTGTTATTTGATGCGTGTCAGTTTTTCAGTGCTGGTTGATTCTTGACACTCACTATGCCGTTCTGAACACTGAAACCCAGCTGGTATTGCAGGTCGGGTCTCTTTATGAGGACAGTAGTGACAGGTGGGCAACTCACTACACTTAGTTTCACCTGAACGTGATTCTTCAGGCTCTGAAACACACACGCATAGGCACTAAAAATATGTAATGAATGCACTTAGCAACTCGTATGTGTTGAATACATGCTTGGATGTGTCCAGACCTTGATGATGCCCTGACAGGTGGCGAGCGGCAGGCCCACCAGACTGGTGTCGTTGACCGCCATGATCTGATCGCCTACATTGAGTTTGCCGGAGCGGGCGGCAAGGCCGTTGTTCAGCATGCAGGCCAAGATGACGGTGGGCAGGATGGAGCCCCAGCCCGACTCCACGATCACCACACCCAGCATCTCACCCTTCTGCTTCTCTAGCTGAAGCTGAGTGCAAAAATATGATCAAAAAGAGGAAGGATCCATTAATGACTAAAAAGTAAAGAAAGAACTTGGAGAAGTCGGAAAAGTTTGTGAAATGAATATGGGGTGACAGGTGTTAATTGCTGTTGTAAGTATGATTTTAATGCCACAATGATGTTGCATGAAGCAACGGCATATGCAGGAGTAGTGATTAACCAGTATTCATTGCAGTCAATTAATCGGTTGGTATTCAGCCATTATGAGACTATTATCACCATCAGCATCGGTTATTATCAACCACAGCTGATAACCAAGCTTGCTTTTAGCACGTTTTAGTTTTCATATATTTGAATGAATGATTGAATAAATCTTTAAGAGCATTTGTAAATACAGTGAAAATAAAATACATTTGTGACTAATGAAAAATAATATAATAATTGCAATATATATATATATATATTTATATATACACACACAGTGTGTAAAAATT